CTTGTTTAGCATTTTTTTTTCCTTTTTAAAATACTGTGCTTATGAAAATGTGTGTTTTCCTTTTAAAATGTTATGCTTAGCTCTTAGCTGCTTGTGCTGTGCTTACTGCCCCTTCTTAAAACCCGCTGCAGAAAAGCTGCTTGCTTGATTCTTGAACCCTGAGAGGACCATAAGGTAGAACAGCCTCTAGTGATCCTGGTTTGGTTGGTTTTTTTTTTTTGCTTTGTTAACAAAGGGATCACCTACCTAGGAGGTGTTTGGTGGGACAGTTGTAGAAAATGTGTCATCTGCACCTGAAGATGTTTTCTTGAGTTCTCCCTGACCTTCTCTGCATACAGCATTTCTCAGAGTAAATCACTGACTGTAGAGATGCTGCAGATTATTCAAGTGTATGACCATTAATCATGAGACTTGAACCCAAGTGGTGAGGGGTGTTCTTTCACCTGCGTCTCCCATGCCTCTATGCTTTGATGCTCCCAAGACATTTTGGGGGAATTCAGAATGTCCAGTCAGAAACGTGTTTCCTAATTGCAGTAAGTTTTGGGGTGGATTGAAAGAAAACCTGTTTGGCCACATCAGTTTGTAGCAATTTTGTCTAAATGAATTGCTCACTTGTCTTGGAGAATAGCAGTAACTTTTGAGAACAAATTCCTCCATATTTCATAATGTCAAGTCATGACAACAACCACAAAATGTAACTACAATGAACAAGTTATGGATGCTGATTTAAGGAAAATGAACCAGTCATAGTCAACAGTACCTTCTTCCATCTCTTTTGCTTTATTCTCTTTTCCACGCCCTTGACATTCGTTACAGTGAACTGAATTCTCAGAGTTTCAGTAAGTTTATGGAAGGGAAGTGGTGTTCACCTACAGCCTGTTATAACCTTATTTGAAAAGCACGCCTGTTATCACACTTACAATCTAAGAGTAGTAATGTGAAGACTAAAGGGCACAGAGACAGTAAGGACACTGTTTTATTTATCTTTGGACAGACTGATTAAAAATGGTTAGTGGTTCTACTGGAAAAATGTGTGGTAGTAGCAGCTCTTCCTGTATAAAATTGCATTTTTGGGTGTTTTTGATACTGGTAAGACTTACAGTGATAGCACAGCTGAGGTCACTGATCTTAATAAAGGAGGCTGTGTTTGCATATTCCTGTCTGTTTAAAACAAACAAACAAAAGGATCTAGTGAGCTGTTGCCCTTTGCTTTTATTTTTGAAAATCAAGGGTTTGGTGGAAAGGGTTTCTTGCCCCAGGATCCTCCACCTTTGTATTTCTCTCAAGACATTCCCGTTTGTCCCATTTAGCACTACATCATCGGCCTAATATTTGAAAGATATTTTGGTATCTCTTGGCTTTTGAGAAACAATATCAGACCAAGTAATTTGTGAGGCTTAAATTTCATATGAGCCATTTGCATCTGATGAGTTTCCCTTTGTTCCTTTTCATGTCTCAGCTTGGTGTGAAAATTGCCAAAGCAGCTGCTTGCCGCAACTTCGTCAAAGCCAAGCAAGAAGCAGAGGCTGCCCAAGAAGCTCAAAAGAAAAAGAAGCTCGCTTGGGGGTAAGTCGTTTGAGTATGGAATTAAACATTTCTGGTATCACTGGCACTAAGTGTATACAATGCAATCTCAGTGAAATGTTTTCTTAGTCGAAATAGGCTTGTGCTAATCTTATTTGTTTAGTTTAACCTTGTTGGGTTTCGGTGGGGTTTTGTAGCTGTGTATCAGACTTCAGCACAGAGGCTTTATCACAAATAATGTGGTGGTTGTATGGCTGTATTTGTCTTCAGGTCTTTATTACAGTGTTAAAATTAGTTTTTATTTTTGTTGTTGTTAAGAATAACGTGGTTAAATAGCTGAAACACACATGCTTGTGATTCCTAATGTGGTTTTTGTGTCCTATTTCAGATTTGAAGCCAAGAAAAGATGGGAAACAAAAAGCAACATGGGATACATGTAATCTGTCGTGTTTTCAGAAGTCAAATACCTGTTGTTACTTGAAGAATCTTTGTAGGCATCTTGTTAAATCTAAACATAAAAAACCCCAAAACAAAACCCAGCACATCAAATGCCTTGTATTTATCCTCCTGCTGTTAGACTGCACTGGCTTGTTTTGGTGCTCTCCTATAAAGTAGTAAAAAATACTATTTAATCATCAATCCTATGTTAAATATAGCACTTTTCTCATAAATATGAAAAACTAAGATAATGCATTTCAGAATGCATTTGAAGTCTGGTGGAGAACTCCCTGAACTTGGAATAAAACACTTGGTCCAAATGTGTTTTGTGCTGTACTGCAGTTATGATGAGTGGGTATAAGGGGAAGGGTAAGTTTTCCTGCTGGGGTTACACAGACTTAATGCAGGAAGTAGTACTTCTCTGCTTGAAAGTTTGGGGGGAACACTAAATGAAGAAAAGCAAAACAATCCTACCTGTTCTAAACCAATATTATTTATGCATTTGTAGCCTTAGTAAATAGAAACACAAAACATTTGTCTGAAAAGGTCTATCCTCCCTCTCCTGGAAGGATGTGGTACTTTTTGTCATCTTCTGGTACCACATTCTTCAGAATATTTCAAATTCCCATTTTTCTTTCCTTCCCAAGAACACACGTTTTAAAAGTACCAATTTCTTTGAGCAGATAAAATATAGAAATATGTATCTTGGAAAACTATCTGAAACGTGTTATGTTGTACAGTTAACTGCACCCAAGATACAAATGCAGATTTTACTCCGAGTCAGATGTTTTACAGATCAATTAGGATTTGAATGTTTATGTTATAAGATTATAACAAGAATTGATGATAATGTTTCTTGGAAATTGTTCTCGGTGAAAAGTAAGTACACATTCAGAACTAATAACTTTTCTCCCTGAAGCTCTTGCATATATATGTTTAGTCACCACAGCGCCTGAATGGAATTGGTAATGTAAATGTCAGTTATTGTTAACCAAGATTAATATGTTTGAGGCCAAAGGTGCGGTATTAACGTAATGCTGATTTACTGGGGAAGTACTGGAGGCTAAAACACCTTGCCAGCAAATAGCAATTGGAAGTTTTACAGCAGCAATTCGGAGAGTTCAGCTTTGCAGTCCAGGATGGAATAGTGCATTTTTGTTCATTAGCCCTCGGGATATTTGATTCTCTTTTCTTTTTTAGCAGAACATCGTATTTCTTTCACGCAGATGAGAGTTTGCAGTGTGGTAATCTGCAGTTAGCTGTAATTAGCTGTGATGATAGAGTTGAACACAATTGCCAGGATTGTAAATCAGGGGCTAAACAGGTTTCTGCAGTATAACATCATAAATCTCACACTAGGCTTACAAACTACATTGCTTTAGAAACTTGTGCATGGAAGGAAGCGAGTGTTATCTCTAGGAAAGTGATTAGAGAGGTAAATTGCATGGTTACCTGTGCAAACACACAGGTTACACCATGAACCTTCAGCAAGGTTTTTCTCAGTTCCAAGTGCTCCTGTCCAAAAGTTCAGGCACTCTGTCCATAATTCCTGTTATTTTTTTAAGCAGCTGGCAGATAGGTGTTGACCTTTCTGCTTGTTATATACTGAAAAGCAGAGTGATGCTGATAATTTAGTGCCAAACACATCAGCAGTGTTCCATTAAACATTTTAAATTACTAATATACTATATTAAATATGCTGTATATATTTTTGCAGTAATTGCTCTTAATAGTAACAGTATTTATTTTACAAATCAAGATCTTGATCTAGTTACAGGGATCACTGTTTTTTGTTATAAAAATGTGCTATAAAAGAAATGCAAACCCTCAAAAAACAGCTATTGCCCAGTCACCTGTGATACTTTTCACTTTACCAATTAGTTTTATGTTAGGCCATTAATCATGTAACTGTTTAGGAAGTACGCAGGATATTTGCATTGGGTTACTTGTATGATGAATTTAGAATGGTCACATTTCGAGCATTTTTATCTACCTGAAGTATTTGCTTATTAGAGTTGATTTCCAGAATTATACCATGTTCAAAAATCTCTGGCTAACAGGGAAAATTCAAAAGCCTAATACAGCTTTATAGAGATCATATAAATATATAATAAATGAATCCATAATTGTGCCTTTAATAAGCATCCTCCTGAATTGGTGATCTGTTTTGAAATGTTTTGCATTCCTGACACTTTTTTTTGTAGTTTTGCTCTGTGTAGTAAATTTTGGCCAAACAAGTAAAAGTGCATTCTGAGACTTAACTTTTTCTGTTTAATGGTGTTAAAAAAATCCAAACGCTTGGTTTAGTTAACTTAACTAGTTAAGCTTTTTAATCAGCTTAAATGTATAATCTCTTACACTGAACTAAATTTGAGATGTAATAATAATAATAATAATTCTTCTAGCAAATGAAGAGTTTGCATTAGCTTCTTGTCTGACTGAAATCTAGAGGAATGTGCTTAAATTATAAATTTTGGTATGAATCTGTTGTGAAGCCAAGTATTTATCAGAAGCTTATTTGATGCTATCTTGAGTTGGGCAACAGTTAAAAGGCAGCCTTGCCTGAGCACCTTCCTCCCCTCAGAAGTCTTGAAAATCATAACTGCCTGCACTAGTTTTGCCCCAGTTTTTTCTCCACCACAATTTCTTATTTTGTCCAACATTGGTCGTGGTACTGTCTTGGATATCCTGAGTAGCCTTAAGTCTTCTGAGGAAAAATCTTGCAGCTGTCCAAGTGTAGTTCTCTGGAGTCAACAGAAAAACTAACTGGAAAGGGGAATGTCCTCTCACAATTACCATTGTTCTTTGAAGAAGGTTGTACCTGGAGCATCCTGGCCTGCTCAGACACCTCTCTTCTGTGCCAAATTTTGTCAGTTAACTGAGCTTGTTACCCACATGCTGTAACATGGTGAGGTGGTTGGATTGCTTTTGGGTTTCCAGTGGCCTTGGCTGATGTGAAGTTGATGGCTCTGTGCACAGCTTTGACACTCCATGTGCACTTTTCCCTCCCGTGGGTGTCACACGCTTTCATTTCTGCTCCCATCTCGTGCTCTTGCAGTTCTGTTGTGTTTGAAGGCCTGCACAATCAAGAAATTCTTTTATCAGCTCCTGTGATAAAATACAGCCAGTTTGAAGTTTGACAGCAGCATACTAATACAATTACTAGTATTTCTTAGTACCGCATTCCTGAGCTCCTTAACCAAAGAGTGGCTGCAGGGACAGTTTGACAGATAAAAACATATATATAGTTGTTCGACTTTTAATAGTTTTTTGCCTGCAACCATAATCTGTATCATTATTTTTTTTTGTTTAATTCTGTTGGACAAGTTTCAAAGATAAATATGGTGTGTAATAAGTCTTTGCAGCCTCTAATTTGTGAAGGAGTGTCTGTCCAGTTAATACTTGCTCATTGAAGCAAGGGGTTTTGAAATAGCTGCAGTATGAACTATAATTACTGATGGCTTCTGGCATTTGATCAAAAACTGTAATGTATTGCTTAATCTCAAAGCATTCCCCACTTTCAAAAATATTTACCTCATGAGAATTGCACAGCACTAAATGACCTTAGCAAAACCGTAGTAGATTTTTATTGGGCATTGATCATATGTAGCTAATCCACCAACAAGTATTTTTTCCTGTTATTTTTGAATGTTGGTAATTTAGATATGGGTGTATTTATAGTGTACCTCTAGTGCAAGCTCAAAGCATCTTAAAAAGTATAAAATACATTAGTAAAGGGGTGGGGTTTTAGTTCACAAATGGGGGGGCTAAAACAGGGAACACAAAGGTCGAGCAATTTATGTGAGGGCAAACTGCTACCTGGCAGCAGAGTGGCAAATGGAATCTCCTGGTTTGTAGTTTTTCAAAGCTGAGAATAGCATAGAGAAGTCAGTCTTGAAAAATTATGAGGCAGGTGCCTAAATCTTATTGAAGGGCATTGGGAATTGGGCACCTTATTACCATCTGTCCCACCAAGAGAGTAAAAAATCTGGGATATTGAGCGCAGATGTTCTGAGCATCGCAAGAGTAAGTAGAAACCTTAATTTCATTTGAGAAAAGTTGTCATCTTTCTTGTTGGAAAATGCCTGCACTGCTTTGATCTGCCTCCAGCTGTGTTTATTATACCATCAAATCTTGTCTTCCTGGTTTCTGTGGAACTGTTTGTAACAGAATTTAGAGTTCTATTTCTTTCTTTGGAATCAGACCTGAAATATAATGTTTTGTCCTCAAAAAGCCTGAGAGTTACAAAGACACTAAGAAATGCAAACAGCCAGCTTTATAAGAGGAGCTCTGCAGATTTTGCATGTGATTGCTCTTGTCACGCTCTTTCCTTGATTATGTTCAGAAATATGACGGGCACCATCTGAGGAAGGAGAAGGCTGTTTGCAGTGAACAGACAGTGTCATGACAAGACGTTGGATGAGTTCCAAATGAGAGCAGCATGTCAGTCACTGAGTCATCATCCTGACTTGAGCAGTGCTTTCATTTCTCTCGGAGGTTCCCAGGTGTGCTGAGTGCTTGACTCACACAGATGGCAGTGACTCCAGGCCAGCACAGAGAGACCACAGGTTGAAATGAGTGTCTGTGTTTCCGTGTTACGTGGCCTAATGAATCAGCCTTTGGCAACTTGGGCTGGAACTGAGTGCAATACATACAATGTAGAAGAAAAGATAGGTGTGGAAATAAGGATTCTTACCCAAATGAGAACTGGCTGCTTTCTGGGAGCCAAAGAGGGAGTTTTGTTCATCATTTTGTTCACAGCCCGTCTGAAATGAACAACATTCATGTAGCCCAAACAGCAAATTTGGATACAGAGCAAAGTGTAATGCTGCCTGTGGACTCTCAGCTAGGTAGTGTTTATGGTGTTTTAGGGCTTTCTATGTAGAGGACTTGTCAGATCTTCTTTAAGACTGAAATGCTAGTTGGCCTCTACTGGTAGAGACCATTAATTCCAAACTGCTAGCACTGTGAATTTACCAGTGCTGCTCAAAGAGATAAACAGTCTGCATCGTCTCTGATAATGTTGATTCTGTCAAATCTTCTGTATCTGCGATGAAAAATCATCATATTTTGTGAATTGAAAAGATTCCTCCCAGCATATCCAAGGAACATTGAGATTTTTTTAACATTTGATTCCTCTTGTGTGGAATTTGTAAAAAGACCTTCTCCACAATTACATTCCAAGTGTGTCACCAGCTCCTCGAACTACACTCCCTGTAATAACATAGGTTTCTAAGAAAGCCCTAAACAAAACTAGGTGTAATATGCCAGAATAAACTGTAAACACCCAAAGAACGTCAGCAGGTTGACACATTTCCTGATTCAGCTTCTAATTACCATCAAACAATGTCGAATGGAGCTTTTATTTTTCACAGAGCTAATGAAGAGCGTGTGGAGAGCAGCCTGCTAGCAAGAGCTGTCCTCTGTTATCTGCTGAAGGAGTACACAAGCTGCAGAGGGGGAGAGTCAGCCACACGGGCTTTTCCAATTTGAATACTTTTCTGTTTATAGAAATACATTTATAAAATGTCCTCTGCTCTCACCACGGCAATGCCAAGGGCCTTTCTCGCAGAAATACATAACAGAATACTCTTGGTTAAGAATTATTTCCTTTACTTCTCTTGCTGTGTTGTTTGTTTGTTTGTTTGTTTAACAAACAACGCTTTAAAATATGCTTAGCTTTGGGCCACTTTAATTTTTAAAGAACAGCTCAGGGAAGGGCTTTGGGTGTGCTTTGTCAAGCAAGACCGTGTTTTTCCAGGCTCTGTGGGGCTGCCATTTCATGTCATGCCTTTAGCAGGCTTTTTAAAGATCTGTGTCACATCTCACAGCCTGGTGTGGACTGCCTGCCTTTGGGGTCAGGCCTCAAGGTTACCTGTCTGGTGCATTTGAGCAGCTTCTCCTTGCTTTCCAAGCACTTCTTCCTAAAGGAAAAAGTGTGTATTTTTAAAGCAGTTCCTTTCAGTGATCTGGTTTAGAGTGCCTGTCCACAAATAGTTGTGTAGAGCTAACTGGGGGAGTGGAGGTGAGAGCAAAAGGAAGGATGAGATTCCTTTAGCAGAGGAAAGAGGGAGGGTATAAACCCCTTACCCTGACATTATCTCAGGTCATACTGTACTCAAGGGCTCAGTTCTAGTCTCCCAGCACTCCCATTGGAATCACCTTCCCTGATTTGGGTCGCTGATGGTAATGCTGGGCGTTGTTGTTAACTATGGATTTGAAGCATAGAATTATCTGATGTAATTAATTTTCTTTTTCTTTTCTGATTTAATCAAAAAACCCATGCACTAGGAATATATTGCCAGAGTCTTTCATCATGAAAGTGCCACAGTTTAGCCACAGACTGCTCTCTGGGGATCATATTCTGCTGCCCTCAATCAAGAAGATCCTTTACTCCAAAACTGGTCAGACTGGAACAAATAAGGGTGACAAAATTTGTATGAAAACAAAGGATTGGAGACATGGACCTGCATTTGCTAAGGGGTATGGAAATTAGCTCCTATTTCAATGCTGAGTGCAGAAGGGTGTATAAATGTTTAAACTCTGAAGGCAGCTGTTAGGTGGAGAAAATTAAGCTGGGAACTGCTGTGCCTGGTGCTGCTAAACATAATCTAGCACTTAAGTGCTGACACAGCCTGTATAGAGAGAGCTCTCCTACCTGGTAACTGCTTTGCTGTGCCTGAGCTCAGTTCTCCTGCATTAATATTCATTGGCCCCAGCACTGCATGTTGCCAGAGTTCTAGCAGGTATTTACAGATCCTCAAAATGGGATTCTCACTGGATTTAATGGGCTCCATCAAAAAATCTGGGTCTTACCTCTGAGGTTTCTGGAATGTTTGCTTTCTCACAGCCTTGAGTAAGCTGCAGTGGAGTGAGTTGTGGAGAAGGGAGTGTTGCGAGATTCCAGGTTTCAGATCCTATGTCTTTGATGCAAGGAAAAGGGAAGTGTGGGAAAGAGGAAGGGAGGAATTGAGAGCAGAAAAGGCTGCAAGAGCAGAGATAAAGAAAGGCAAGTGTGTGGTGGAAGCTCTTCCAGCTCCTCTGCTGTCAGTGGTGAGAAAGTTTGTCTGTTAAAAACCAGATGCTTGGTTTCCACCAGTTGAGGGTGCATCCCTTGCTGTTGTTTGGGTACAGGAGGTGTTAAACAGCTTCCTCAAGGCTGCCTGGTTGTTGTTTATATTTCAGCATGTGAGCTCTGTAAAATTCCACACAACTCCTGCTGTAAGAACAAAAATGACCTTCCCAGAAATGTTGTTGTGTGGTTCAATGGGAGTTGAACGGAGTTTATCACAGCCCATGTGTCCCTTTCATTACTGTCACATGAGATAACCAGATGCTGCTACCAGAGGTGTACCAGTCACTGCTGCCAACACTGGAGACAGGCTGGTGAGAACTGGAAGAACTACCAAATAGACCATGTAGGGCACATTTTCAATGCCAACCTGGAGTGCACAGACCTTCATCAACACGGTTCCTTGCTTTGGAAGGAGGAAGTTCCTGGGTTATACAAACCATTCAGGTCAGCAGTGTAATCTAGTGGGACTGCTTCTGTAATCCTGAGTGTCTTCTGAAAATGTCTCCCTGTGGCCATGCAATGTGGAAGATCAAGCTGTAGCATAACCTCTGCCTGTCGTGTCTGAGCTCCCTCTGGTGTAGGCAGAACGTGTCCTGCTTGCACAGGTGTGAACAAAACACTCCTGGAGCTGCACTGCCCCTGAGTCAGATGCTGTTCATTGCTGTCCCACGGGCCATGCACACAGCTCAGAGTCAGGACTGCTCACTCACGGGGGTGCATTGGGGTAAATACACCCTTTTTCCCCCAAATAAGAGCACAGACAGGTTAGGAAAGTTGGCCAAGGCTGTGGAGAATATGACTCACAGGATACAGAGAGTTGATCTCATGCTAATCACAACCAAGCACAGGCAGCCTGACATTTGACTTTTATACAGGGAAAACCTGGCTGCAACCCTTGTGATTCACACCTAATCTGCTCTAAGCATCTCCTTTCCACTGCTCATAACCCACTGGTCTTACACATTTTGCATATGTCTTGTGTTGAATATTTCAATTGACTTAATTATTGTCTTAAGTAAATGTTAACTAGAAATTTATGAACCACAATGACATCTAGGATGTGAATTTTTGTAAAAATAGGTTTTGGGGAATAATTGTTAGAAATTCACGATTCCTCCCATGTTATTTAGTTGTTGTGAAATTCCTGCACTTTGGTGACGTTTCAAGGGCAGTATAATCCTTGGTGCACTAATTTGCTAGTGCAGTATGCCTCAGACAAAAGATTTGCTTTACCAAGACTGAGCAGATGCTTTGTTTGAAATTTCCTATATAGCCCAGTATTTCAGATTTAGCACAATGGCATTGCAAATGTTAATGTACCTCAATTGATCCTTACAGCACTGCTCAGCAGCGCAATTCATCCTCTAAGCACAGGATTTTACTTCTAGAAAAAAATAAGTGGAAGTGCTTAGATCATGTAGACTCCATTAGAAATAGGAGTCCATCTAGTAATAGAAAAAAATGTGTGAATTCATCCTGAGGATAAATGGGTACAGATCTATGGAAGCAAGCAGTCTTTTTATGGGAGTGGAGTTGCACATGTTTTCTCCAGGGATCGGTTCAGTCCACTTTGCCTTTGTAGTTTATGCTGAAATTCTTCAAGATAGGGAAAACTTGCAGAGTATTTTTATGTACTAAGTGCCTGGCATAGATCAGAGTCTTTACTTTCCACTTCTGCTAGCAGTACAATCATTTAAAATTAAAGAAAAAAAAATAAAACAAGTAATTAATCCTGTATGAATGTTCAAACGTTCAGTTACTAAGAGTTATTTTCTCCCTCTAGACCTTGGACTTCCTCTGTGTGTGATCCAAGAAGGCAAGTAGAAGTCTTTTTCAGGAAAATACAATTTTCAAGCACCCTGATTGTGCTATGATACTTGCTCTACCTGAATCTTTTTAGATAACAGGCATCATGCTGCCTCTCGTTTATTTATCTCTGATTGAAGAGCAGGGGAACACAGAAGTGGCATTCAAGGAACATGTTAGAGGTGTATATACAGTTTGTGATAGTAAGATCAAGCAGAACTTGTGACAGGGAGAATTTTCTTCATCTAGAAAGTCAGCTCTGCTCGTAATAAGATCCTCTCTCACAAAGGAAGAAAGAACAATCTGGAAAACTGTCTCCCCCACCCCCTTGCAAGGGCAGTCTGATCTTGTTTTTAGGGTGCAGATTGGGACACTGGATATTTTTCTGTGGTCATTTGCAGGCCAGGCTAAGATTTTCCTGTCCTCAGTCCCATCTGGGTAACAACCAGCCAGCTCCAGTCCCAGATCTGTGCAGCTCTATTTGTGTGGTGCTGTGCCCACTCCATTAAACCTTCTGAGCCTGGTTTGAAAAAATCAGGGCAGACATTCCCCAAAAGAGCTGAGGTCAGTGTCCAGCACTGGCACCATTTCACTGTGGGACCCTGGAGAAAGTGCTCCAAGTCGGATTTTGGAACAAGCAGAGCCATCCCAGATCCCACTGTTAAAATGCTACTGATCTTTGAACAGGTCCTGCTCAGTGGCAGGCTCTGGTTCGCCAGAGGGGGTGTGCAAAGCCACTCCAACTGTGACACTGCCCCACAGGGAGGCTCTGCAGGAACTTGGGCATCAACCCCTGAGTACAGGGAACATTGTTTGGATCCAGTGGGAATTTAATTATTTATACAAACTGACTTGGCACTTTTAGGGAGGATCAGTCAACCCTGGGGTTTCAGTGGCTGGGATATTTCCATAGATGTGGGAAGAGTGTCCTCCAGTCTCTAGTCCGGTCACAGATGGGATGCTAAAATTCAACTGCTACCTATAGGGAGAACCCTCTATAAGGGGTTATGAGGACAATAGGGATAAGGAATCATCATGAATTCTTCCATCTGTATAAGAAGGAAGGACTAAGTCTGCTTTACATAGGCAGGTAAGTAATGGTACACGGAAATTCCAACTTCCAAATCCTTTCAGAATGACATCTAAGAGGACTGCTTCAAAAATACAACTTTTTTTTACTTTTTAATTATCATCAATTAAATTTTGGCTTTCCTCATGTGGGAAGAAGGAATGTAAAGGCAATTCAGTTAGCTTCTTGCATATCATCATGCCATAAGTACCTCTGAAGAGGGCTGCAGTCAGTTCAAAAGGGGCGTGCACTTGAGAGCTCATAGGCCACTTCCAGACTGCATTACAAGCTGGGTTTTCATTTTCTCCTAGTTCTAAGGAAGATCAACAAGACAGAGTTATTTACAGGAGATATTGAACATAGAGTCTCACCTAGAAATATTTACCTGATCTCTTTATGCTTCTTTAACAATAGACACACATGGGGCTGAAGGGGTTGAAGGAATGACCTGTGTTTGGGGGAGAAGGGAAATGCTCCCATTTGGCTTTTCCTCCCCAGGGAGGCTGTTTTGCCCTTTCTGAGGAGCCCAGCACTGCACAGTGAACAGCAGGGAGGTGTCTGTATCAGAGGGAGGGTGGCTGGGATGCAGAAGCAGGCAGTTTTTTGCTTCAGCATAGCCTGGAAAGCAGCTCTGACACAAGGAACAAAGGCTGTGGCTGGCACACCTTGGGAGGATGGCAGCACCCACACAGACCACGGCTCTGCCTCCTCCCTGCCCCTGTGCCAGTGCAGAGAACCCCTTCCCTGGCTTCCCCCAGCCCAGTGCAGCTCTGCCATTGTAATTCTGCTGCAGTCGTGCTGCCATCGGAATTCATTTGTCATATGTTAGGAACTGGAATCCATCAAAGCGTGTTCACTGGCCTTTTAATTAGTGTTAGATTAGCATTTTAAGATACGGGTAAATTCCCAAGTCTAACTTTGTTTAAAGGTGCATATTCAATACAGTAGCCAGGAAATCATGTATTCTCATGTACTTATTACCTTAGTAATGTAATGCTGTGAGGGAAAAAGGCAGATAATACTTCCGACAAATATTAAATGTTATTTGTAGAGCTGCTGTCTGTGAATTTAAACAGAAAATCATTCCTTGCCATGAAACACACACAAATTTCTTTTGTGGCTTTCATGTTTCATTAAAGCTTTGTATGTGGAGGAGAAGAAAATCTAAATTGCTACTTAATTAAAGGGATACTGTCAGATTAAATATATTTTGAAGAAATGAACTTTGCTTTTTACCTGGGTTGTCAGTAACACCTAGGATTATTGAAAATGAAATATTTTTTAACATCTAATATACTTCTCACCATTTATCAAGCTGGGTCTTTTCTTCTCCTTGGCTGGTGAAACTAAAACAGTCTCTTGCTTTTCCCTGTAGTCAGCTCCGTTGTCTGGATCCTATTAGCTAACCCAATATTGGAGAGCTTCAGGTTGTAAATACCAGGAGGTGAAGCTTACAGCTAAACCAAAAAAAAAAAAAAAAAGAAAATGTATGGCTCTGTCTTTATTCCATTAAAATATTTCTCTAAAGCTGGACATAATGTAATATATGCTCCTTTAATCATGTTTTCATCACCACACAGCATGTGCAGAGTGGGCTAAATCCTGGGAAGTGCTGAGCAGTGCTGGGTGTGTACCTTTCCCTCTGACTGAAGGCCAAAGGTTCTAAATTTGCTCAATTGCATGGGAAGGGGTCAGACATGTCTGTCACAGTGCATGGAAACCTGAGCCCAGTCCCACACAGGGAGCTCCCTGCTGCTGCAGTAAAGGCTTAAATTAGGACCAGAACGTGAAAGTACGTGGGTCCCTCTGACAAGTGAGAATGAGAAGTGGTGTGGAGCCCCTCCAGCACCTTTGCTTTCCTACAACATCTTCATGGTCCTGTGTAGAAGGGGAGACCAAATCTTACTGAGGCAGGTCCAGGGGCAGCTGTAGGGGAGACTGGATTCTGCAGGGATAGTTTTATTGTGGGTTTTATTGGAGCTGCAGGAAGAGGGCAGAGAAGGTGTGTGTTGTGGGTTAATATTATTATATTTGGAAATAATAATATATGCAGCAATTCCAAAACTCT